TTTCCAACGGGGAAAGCATACAGGCAGTCCTCGACTTACAGAGAGACCTTGGAGTCTTAGTGGACGATCACTTAGACATGAGCCAGCCGTGTGCGGCAGCAGCCAAAAAAAGCTGACACAATCCTCCGTTGTATAAACGGAGGCATAGAATCAAAAGTCATGTGAAGTGTTAGTACCGCTTTATAAAGCCTTAGTACGGCCCCACCTGGACTACTGCATCCAGTTTTGGTCCCCACATTACAAAAAAAGATGTTGAGACTTTGGAAAAAGTGCAGAGAAGAGCAACTAAGGTGATTAAAGGCCTGGAGACAAAAACATGAACGGCTGCAGGAATCAGATATGGCTAGTCTAGAGAAAAGAAGGAATAGGGGTGACATGATGGCAGTATTCCAATATTTGAGGGGCTGCCACAAAGTGGGGGGGGGATCAACTTATTTCCCAAAGCACCAGAAAGCAGGACAAGAAGCAACGGATGGAGACTAATCAAGGAGAGAAGCAACCTGGAATTAAGGAGAACCTTCCTAACAGTGAGGACAATTAACCAGTGGAACAGCCTGCCTCCAGAAATTGTGGGTGCTCAATCACTGGGTTTTTAAGCAGAGATTGGGCAGCCCCCTGTCTGAAATGATATAGAGTCTCCTGTTTGAGCAGTTACGGACTTAAGATATATTTCCTTCCTCATTGCTTTGATAATAGAACTTGCATATTTCCACAAAGTCACCTCTACCCAATTCTAGCCAAGTTGTTTAAACCATCCCTTGCCAATAATATAAGAACATCGTGGCTTCAAAATCTAAGGGATTGGTTTGGACAAAACTCGGCAGCTCTTTTTCGTGCGGCTGCTGATAAAAACAGGATCGCCAACGTCCGATAATGGATATGACACAAGAAGCAGATACACACTTAGGCACAGCTGGGGGATGTGTGTGTTCCACCCTCTACGGCAAACTGTGTCTTAAATCCAGCTCGCTGTACACCAAGTCACCTAAATATTAGAAATCCAGAACTTAGAAGAGCGACATCTGTGAGCATAAAAAGACCAGAAGCTCAAGAGAGTCTGTAACTCAACGGGGGAATCTGATCGGACCAAGAGTATGTGATGTACATTTTGCAGTTGGAGGTAACGACCGTAATGAAACCTAGAATTTCTGTCGTTAAGACGGATGTAACTTGAGGTACCCACAACATCCCACCTGATTTTATGGCCTTTTTGCAGCAATCGTTGAGCGAATGCCTTTGTCATTAAGTGAGCGCCGTCGTTGTTCAATGCCACAGTTGTTAAGCTGCTTATTCTGACCTCGGGTGCCAGGGAAAATAAAACTTCCTAAGCATCTCCCTCTCTGTGCCAACCTTGGGACTCCTGGAAAGTCACCTCTACCCAATTCTAGACGAGAGTTGTCACAAGCAGCCTCTGGGGAAGGAGAGTCCAAAACACATGGGCATCACAGTCAACTTTGCCAGCCCTACAATTCCACGAGTTCAGCATAATTGAGGATGATGCTCATTTTAAAAGGCTGCGGATGGAAACCAAAACCATCTTCTCTTCCGAGGTTTAAAAAAAAAAAAAAAGACACGCAGAAATAAATGGGAGTCCAAGCTTCCCCAAAGTTAAGTATCTCCCATTTGCCTGGAATGCTTTGTGTGATTAAACTCCACTTGTGGTGTCATCTACACCAATTAGCGAGCCTGTTTGGGACTGACAGCGCACGGCAATCCGGAAGTTACTCACAATGCAGAGCCACCCATTGCAGACTTCTCCGTCCTGGAATACCAAACAAGATTTGAACTCGTGGCTGGGAAAGATCCGTCAGCATCACAAGCCTTCCAAAATACAGCCAGCCAGTCTGGTCTAGAGGTTAAGGCACCAGGCTAGAAAACAGTCCCTTAGCCATGACAGCCAGCTGGGAGATGTTGGATCAGCTCCACCAACCTCACAGGGTTGTTGATGTGGTGAAAAGATGTTCACTGCCTTGAGTTATTTGTAAAAAATAATAAAAGGCGAGATATAAATAAAGAAAAATATACCCTGAGCCAGAATGTGGACATCAGTTGAGGCTACTTGAAAGTGGAATTCGAAAGGAAGATGTAGCATTGGGCAATGCTTTTCTTGCTTAGCTGTAGGCACCGCTAAACACACATCACACAACGACATGGTTTTAACACTGCCTCTCCTAACCCCAGTGGAGATCCTTTCAGGAAGGGGAAAATTTTATCCTTGGGAGATGAAGTATCTTTTTCAGGCTTGAGAAAAATAGCATTGTCCTCTGAAACGATACAACAGCAACAGCACTGAAGACTTATATACCGCTTCATAGTGCTTTACAGCACCCTCTAAGCCAGTGGTTCTCAACCTTTTTAATGCCGCGACCCCCAACTGGTCGTAAGTCGAGGACTAAACTGGTCGTAAGTCGAGGACTAAACCGGTCGTAAGTCGAGGACTACCCAACCGGTCGTAAATCCAGGACTTTCCCTGCCCGGGAGCGCCGCGCATGCGTGGTTCCGCCCCCTGCGCCGGCCAAGGCGTAGCTGGCAAGCGGCAGAGACGGAGCAGGCCGACCAGCAGCTGGCCCAGCTCAAGGGAGGTAAGGCACCCGCCGGAAAAGGGGAAAAAAATGGTGGACAGCCTTGCTTGGCCACCCCTGTGAAATGGTCGCTCGACCCCAAATGGGGTCGCAACCCATAGGTTGAGAACCGCTGCTCTAAGCGGTTTAAAGAGTCAGCATATTTGCCCCCAACAATCTGGGTCCTCATTTTACCGACCTCGGAAGGATGGAAGGCTGAGTAAAACCTTGAGCCGGTTAGGATCGAACTGCTGGCAGTGGGCAGAGTCTGCCTGCAATACTGCATTCCATCCATTGCCATCCCCGGCTCCTACAAGGCAGGTCTTATTCCGTGGCACAATTCAACTAGCAAAACCCCACAATCCTCTAAAATTAATTCTCAGCTTTTGAAAGTTGGATGATGGGACTTTCTGGTACAATATACTATTTTCTTGGCACCCCTAATACAGCTTCGTGAGCTGATCTTGTGTTCAGACTGCACATTATGATCCCACAAAAGTTCTGGTAGATTTAAATTTTTTCATCTCTTTGATGTCACTGCGGCACACGAACCGCCAAGGAGCAACCCAACCTCCAAACAGGTTTTAAAAACAAGAAAACCAACGAAGCATTTCCACGAATGGAAAGGGGGGTGGGAGAAAAAGTAAATAAAAAATAAAACGATAAAAAAAAAGATTAAATCTTTTGTTGTTAACCAATAGTTTCATGAAAACCTGGGGGCCTGTTGATGTCAGCACATTTCCTAGCTCAGCCGAACAAGCTTTTTTTCCCCCCTTGCAGGAAAGCAGCTTGAATACCCAAGAGCCGCGGTGGGAAATAATGCTGAGTTTGCAGTCATATGAAAATGGGGTGACCTAGCACTAAGCAGCTTTCTTGATAGGTGAGAAAATACTGATTTTTACTAATTTCCAGGCGCTGTTCTGGCAAGCCGAGCGAAGAGGGCGGGGTTGCCTCAGTGCTCGTTTTATTCTACAAAAGCAAATTCTTGACTTTAAAAAAAATAGCAAATCGGGAGATTTAAAAGTAGCTGAGGTTGCATTCAGTCTGTTCCCTGAAGAATTCGCATTCTTGCCTCGTTTTTGAGAATTGTACTGCTGAATCTTAGCCAGTTCCCACCACCAATTCAAAAACGTAAAGTAATATGGCCTCGGGAAATACATTCCCTCAAAACAGAGATGTTGCACATCTGTAAGGTTAACCTACTTCTAGAACAGACATGTCAAACTCATGACGTCGCATGACGTGTTTTGCTATTGCCAGCAATGGGGTGGGTGCGGCTTCCGCGTGACGCGTCCGGCCCGCAGGCCGACAGTTTGACACCCCTGTTCTATAAGTTTCTACGGAGATTCGTACTACTGAATCTTAACAAGGTCCCACCACTAATTCAAAAACAGGGATTTACAAGTTAATATGGCCTTGGGAAATACATTCCCTCAAAACAGAGATGTTGCACATCTGTAAGGTTAATCTACTTCTAGATGTTTCTATGGAGATTCTCAGTCATCCAGACCATGGTTGTCCCAAAGATGCTTTTTCAAAAGGCAACTGGGCTTTTGTTTTTCCTTGGATGTTTCGCTTCTCATCCAAGAAGCTTCTTCAACTCTCACCGATATAACTATAGATCCTCAACCTAGAACTAAGGAGAAACTTCCTGACAGTGAGAACAATTAACCAGTGGAACAACCTGCCTCCAGAAGCTATGAATGCTCCAACACTGGAAGTTTTTAAGAAGAGACTGGACAGCCGTTTGTCTGAAATGGTGTAGGGTTCCTGCCTGGGCAGGGGGTTGGACTCGATGACCTCCAAGGTCCCTTCCAACTTTATTATTATTATTATTATAAATCCTATAAATATAAATGTGTTCAGTGTAAATCCTTCCATTCCCTACCGTTCAATCGGAACTGAAGACGCTTCCTGGGTGAGAAGCAAAATGTCTTTAAGCAGGACTTAAAATGCACCCTGGCACTGGCTTCAGAAACTCCCACATTCCCTGAAATCATGATTATAGGATGTGAGGCTTATCCCCCCAGAATGCTGGGTTGTTTCCCAATTCAGCTGTTGACAGAGTTAAGACTGGCTGACGAGGGTAAGAACAACGGGCCACAAAAGTCATTCGGAAAGCAACGAAGGGCGAGAGTCCTGGGAAGGGAGGGCCAGTTCTAGAGCAAAGGTGCTCCTCAGAGCCTTAAATAGAAATCCAGAAAGATGCAAAGAGTGAGCAGTTTATCTCAAGCTTCCTCTTCACGTTCCCCTTTTTTTCAGAGAAATGTATATTTCAATGGGTTGGGATTAAACCCCCACACATAACTCTTTATCTTTCATTGGGTTGGGATTAAGCATGCTGTTGCCTATCCCGCCTTCTCTCCCCCATAAACCCCTTTGCAAATAAACCAATTAAGTAATCAGCATCACACTGGCGTATTTCGAGCTTTTGTAACCGGGGTGACGAGTGGCATCCTTTTATTAAGAGCGACGAACCATTTCACAATGCCCAAACCCTCGTTTGTGCTGTGCGCCACGTGGACGCGTGGACGTCAGTTCACAAACAGGTCTGCTCCTTCTCCAACGTCATCCCTCTCTCTCTCTCTCTCTCGTGTCTGCGTCGTTCAGCTCTTCTGAAGTTAAGACTGACGTGAGACCTTGAAGTGCTTGAGGTAGGAAAACCAAAGAGGATGCTCTGTAGCCATCAACCCACCACAAAAAGTTCTCCTTCACAAAGCCAGCCGTTCTGAACAGGAGGTCCAGGACAGGAGCACCGTGGTTCTGCAGGGATGCCTCATCTCACCTCAAAGGTGGACCAGCTCTGGAGAACCAAAAATGCCCTACAGCAGCCACAGCACCTGGTAGCCAGGCGACTTCTACAGAGAACGCAACGCCATCCAGTTTTCTGACGTCCTACTACTCCAGGTCTTTGCCTCACTACTCGACAAAGAAACAACTCGGTCGGTCGGCCTTTCCCCAACCGTTACTACTACTCTCTACTGCAAATCTCCTACGAAGGTCCGCAGGCTGTTTCTCATCGAGACGATGTTGGGGCCGGAAGACCCCCCTTGGGCTCGCAGAAGAACCTGCCGTTCAGGGTGTAGCCGCCCTCCTGTCCCGCCCGCACGTCGAAGCCGATGGTGACCTCCTCGATCTCCTCGTGGCTGTTCTGGACGGTGCTTTTCCCGTGCAGTTCCTTCAGGTGGCGCCGCAGGCCCGGCTTGTGCGTGAAGTGCATCTCGCAGTAGTTGCACTTGTGGGGCTTGATGCCGCTGTGGAGGTTGAGGTGGTCCTGCAGGGTGGCGTTCTGGGTAAAGCACTTGCGGCAAATGGGGCACTGGAAGGGCTTGAAGCCCGTGTGCACCCGGATGTGGCGGGTGAGGTTGCTCTTCTGCGAGAAGACCTTGCCGCAGCGCAGGCACAGGAAGAGCTTGTGCTCCTGCACGTGGCTGACAAAGGGGCCCAGCTGCTGGAACACCCGGCTGCAGCGGGGGCAGCGGTAGGGACGCTCCAGGCCCGGAACCTTCCACGTGGCCACCCCACTGCCCGTCCTCCATTCCCGGTAGTTGATAGCCGGGCCGTGGCGGTGGCGGTGCAAGGGGTAGTTCCTCCACGGAGAAGCGGGGGAGGGGGTGGTGGAGGGGAAGGGCAGCCCTTTGCCGCTCATCTCGTCATCGTAGCATCCCTGCAGGTAGCTGCGGGTGATCTCCACGGCGGAGTTGATGAGGGAGAGGGAAATGGCGGGAGAGGCCGGGCCGTGGGAGCCGCGCGGGGTGAACTCCACAGCCATTTTGTTCTCTTCGCAGTCTGTTTTGCCTGGATTGGAAGATGGCTGCTTCCCCCCCTCTTCGTCCTCCTCCTCCTCCTCTTCCTCTCCGTCTTGCTGTTCACTGCTCTCCTCCTCCTGCTTCTCCTCCAGCAGGGCGTCCGCCTTGGGGACCAAGTAGTGGGAGACGGCCTGAGCGCAGCGCTCCACCACGTGGCCCATCTGCAAGAAGGACGCCGCCGTCAAATAGTTGACGAGTTCCTTGATAGGCACTTCCAGGCACCCGGTGTAGCAGGAGAGCAGAAGCTGGCGCCCGATCTCTGGGCTCTGGAAGAGGGAAACCGTCACCTCTTGCGAATCGTTGAGCAGGAACTGGTCGCGCAGGAAAGGGGAGCAGGCCGCAAAGACCACGCGGTGGCCGGGAACCCGCAGCTCGTTCACCTGCACCGTCACGTCGCAGAAGCGGCGTTGCTCCCGCAGCTGGTCCATGCGATGCAGCACACCGTCGCCGTAACCGGGAAAGCGGAAATGTAGCCGCTCGCAGGCCGGGGCCATTATGATACGCCTGGAAGAGACAAGATGGAGGAGAAGGAAGAACTGTGAGTGACAGGCAGAAATGCCAGAGGAGGCGGGACCATTTGGAGGAGTGTTTCAGTAGGCGCTGATAACATGGAAGGGAAAAAAAAAAAGAGTAGGCTGAATAAAAAATAATAATTTGATGGAGAGGCCCTGATCAACGGAGAGCCAGTTTGACCTAGTGCAGGGGTAGGCAACCTTGGTTCTTTTATGACTGGTGAACTTCAACTCCCAGAATTCCTGAGCCAGCATGGCTCAACCTCTCCCTTTCCCCTCAGCATGGCTGGCTCAGGAATTCTGGGAGTTGAAGTCCGTGAGTCATAAAAGAGCCAAGGTTGCCTACCCCTGGCCTAGGCCACTTTATGACTGGTGGACTTCAACTCCCAGAATTCCTGAGCAAGCCATGCTGAGGGGAAAGGGAGAGGTTTCCAAGCTGAGCCATGCTGGCTCAGGAATTCTGGGAGTTGAAGTCCACCCATCTCCGAGTAGCCAAGTTTGAGAAATACAGGCCTAGGGCAGAGATAGGCAACCTTGGCTCTTTTGTGACTCGTGGACTTCAACTCCCAGAATTCCTGAGCCAGCACGGCTCAGCTTGGAAACCTCTCCCTTTCCCCTCAGCATGGCTGGCTCAGGAATTCTGGGAGATGAAGTCCACCAGTCATGAAGGGGCCATAGTTCCCCCATGCTGGCTCAGGAATTCTGGGAGTTGAAGTCCACCAGTCATAAAAGAGCCAAGATTGCCTACCCCTGGCCTAGTGGTTAAGGCATCAGACGAGAAACTGGGTGGCGGTGAATTCTAGTCCAGCCATCTGGGTGACTTTGGACCAATCACCAGGAGATGGTGAATTCTAGTCCTGCTTTAGGAGTGAAAAAAATTGGATGACGTTGGGTCAATCATTCTCTTCCAGCCCAGCCTACCTCACAGGCTTGTTGTGCTGGGATAAGATAGGAGGAAAAAGGAGTACAGGTAGTTCTTGACTTACAACCACAAAGCCCAAAATTTCCCCTGCTACGCGTGACATTGTTAAGTGAGTTTGGCCCCATTTTACAACCTTTCTTGCCACAGTTGTTAAGTGGATCACTGCAGTTGTTAAGTTAATAACACAATTGTTAAGTGAATCTGGCTTCCCCATTGACTTTGCTTGTCAGAAGCTCCCAAAAGGGGAATCACATGACCCCGGGACACTGCAACCGTCATAAATACGAGTCAGTTGCTAACTGAATTTTAATCACATGACCACGGGGATTGTGCAACGTCACAAGTGTGGAAAACGGTCCCTAAGTCCCTTTTTCCAGTGCCATTATGAACTTCAAACGGTCATTAAACAAACTGTTGTAAGTCAAGGACAACCTGTACTAGGTATGTTCGCTACCTTGGGTTGTTTATAAAAAAATAATAAAGGTGGGATGGAAAATAAATAAAAATGAAATAAAGGGGGTTGATTTAAACTTTTGTGCATGGACAACTTCCCCATCAACAATTCCATGAAGGCAAGGGTTTATAAAGTGATTTATTTTCCAAGTTCAGATATCCTGAGAAACTCAAGTCTTACAGAACTTGTCTTAAATCATTTTAGCCAAACTTGGCTGATGTGGGCACAAAATCTGGCCCTTGTTTACGTTGAATCCTGGTTCATTTTACAACTAAACTGACATGTCCTCCCGCTGGGGACAAACCTAACAGGAAAAATAAAGAATGTCAAAAGGTTAATAATTGTGTGAAGGGTTTGCCTAACTGGATAGGGAGGCTTGGATTATTTTACACCGGGCTTTTTCTTTTTCTTTTTCAAAAACTCCGCTTTTTGTTGACTAAAACCTCGCTGAAGCAGCGAATTATTTTGATTTCGTCCCCCCACGTGTCCTCTTACTACTATTCCCGAAAGAGACCTACGCAGTCGGAGCCACGAGCGCGCGTCCCCTTGCGCTACGATCCCCGCTCCCGTACGCAACCTGCGGGGCTAGCCGTCGCCCGTTTGCGCTATTGGCGCGGGGTCCTTTTGCATTCCAAAGCTATTCGTAGAGCGACCCCTAGAGGCGTCCCGGTACGCTATTGGCGTCCCTTCTGGTTCCTGAAATGCCTATTCAGAGACGCCACTTACGCTCGCCGCCTAAAGGGTGCTGGCTCTTTATCCCAGGACGTACGTCGCGCTTCTGGAGCCACTCACCTCACTGCCGCCTCGGGCACCTAATTGCCTCCTTCCAGGGGCCCCCTTCGCGTTTGGAGCCCCCCAAGACGGCCGCTCCGCATCGGCTCCCTTAGGCCTGCACGCAGCACCTCGGCTGCGCCGCCATCTTGGAATCCGCCTCTCAAAGGGTCCGGGACTTTTTCCTCCCAGGCGGGCAAGGGCAGGGATTGCTCCGCGCCGCCACCCGCCTCCGGGGCGCAGCACAAGGGGGACCTCCGAGCGCGGGTGGGGGAGTGAAGGGTCATGCGAAGCGCTGGTATCACTCCGCGGGAAAGAGTCCCAAGGCTCAGTCCCTCTGACGCCCCATTGGAAGCGTAGCGTTCCCCCCCCCTCCAGTCGTTCCTGTCTCTCTGTTGCCGCCTCCCCCAAGTTGCCTCCAGAGGGCTGGACTACAACTCCCATCTCCTCAGCTAGCAGGGTGAGGGGAGTTGCAGTCCAATGCATCTACTCAGGCCTTCTGACGCCCCCCCCCATAGGAAGCTGAGCTCTCCCCTCCAATTGTTCCTGTCTCTCTAGTGCAACCTCCCCCAAGGTGCCCCCAGAGAGCTGGACTACAACTCCCATCTCCCTAGCTAGCAGGATGGGAGTTCCAGTCCAATGCATCTACTCAGGCCTTCTAACACCCCCCCATAGAAAGCTGAGCTCTCCCAGTTGTTCCTGTCTCTCTATTGCAACCTCTCCCAAGTTAGTGCCTCCAGAGGGCTGGACTACAACTCCCATCTCCCTAGCTAGCATGATGGGGGTTCCAGTCCAATGCATCTACTCAGTCCTTCTGATGCCCCCCCTCTAGGAAGCTGAGCTCTCCCCTCCAGTTGTTCCTGTCTCTCTATTGCAACCTCCCCCAAGGTGCCCCCAGAGAGCTGGACTACAACTCCCATCTCCCTAGCTAGCAGGATGGGGGTTCCAGTCCAATGCATCTACTCAGGCCTTCTGACGCCCCCCCCCCATAGGAAGCTGAGCTTTCCCCTTCAATTGTTCCTGTCTCTCTAGTGCAACAGCCCCCAAGCTGATGCCTCCAGAGGGTTGGATTACAACTCCCATCTCCCCAGCTAGCGAGATGGGAGTTGCAGTCCAATGCAACTGCATGGCACCAGCTTGGGGGATAAACAGAAGGCCACAATGCACCCCCAGTCCTCCCAATCTGTCGTTATGATTTCCCTGGATTGCACTTAGGGTTGCCAGGTCTGCTTCCAAAAAATAGCGGACAAGCGGGGGGGGGGTGTTAAGTAGTAAAAAAAGTAGACTGTACAGCTTTAGATTACGTACCATTTCATCATAAAGCTTTTGAATAAAAAAAAATGTCCACTATTTTGTGAAAAAAAATAGTGAACATAATGTGAAAAAAGTGGACTGTCCACTCAAATAGTGGACACCTGGCAACCCTAATTGCACTTAAACTTTTTTTTTTCTGGATGGCCCAGTCCGCTGAACTGTGAGCTATCTGAATTAACCTGGTTGAAAAGAACTCATATGGAAATGTAGCCACCGTTTCTTCAACTGAGCTGGTTAAGTGGAGGGTGAAAACGGGACCGCTACGAGCTTTTTTGTCCCTAATTCAGGACCCAAAGTTACCTGCCACCTCCATCAGGTTGTACATGTTCAAACAGACTGATAGAGATACTGTACAATTTTTCTGCTCTTTGGCCGAAAACATTCCTGAACTAGAAAGACTTACAAAATTAAATAATGGAGCAATCTGTGGAATCAGGAATGCAAATGAGAAAGAATCCTATCCTGAATCCTTAAGTTCTTCAGGATAGTAATATATGGTTGGCTTGATAACGGAACAACAAAATTGGAAGGGACCTTAGAGGTCTTCTAGTCCAACCCCCTGCTTAGACAGTAGACCATTTCAGAAAGTGCTTGTTCAATCTCTTCGTAAAAACCTCCAGTGATGGAGCACCCACAACTTCTGGAGGCAAGTTGTTTCTCTGATTAATTGTTCTGTCAGGAAAATTTTCCTTAGTTCTAGGTTGCTTCTCTCCTTGATTAGTTTCCATCCATTCTTCTGATGTTCTGACCAGTGGTGGGATTCAGCCAGTTCGCACCACTTCGGCAGAACCGGTAGCTAATTTTTTGTTGCCCAGGCCCAGAACGGACTTCCAGAAGCGGCATCCACACAGAGAACCGGTTGTTCACCTATTTGAATCGCACCACTGGTTCTGACCCACCACCAGATCAAGACACTGGATCTGTTCCCCTCGGTTTTTCCCCCATCACAGTCTGGTGAGGCATGTTGAATTGAGAAATAACAACCGGCTTGAAATTACAAGATAGCTGAATGCTTCCTCCTTTACAGATCCTTCCCCATTTCGCACAAAACCACAATTCTCCTGCGGTTTCCTGCCTGTAGGAGCAGGAAAAGTTATTGGGCTGGCCCTGTCCTCAGACAAGGCTACAAAAAGCTGGTAGATCAGATGTTCAGAAGAAAAAAAAATAGAGCTTGAGTATCCTCCAGATGTTCATGGAGGTTATAAAATTCAAGATAGCAGGCACAGTTTTGTGAAACCCCCACCCCACAGAAGGTAATGTTCATATTTCGATCCTTCTTTCCTCACTCCCCAGCCCAGATATCCTGAACTGAAATTGTTTGGGGGGAGAAAAATCCTTATAAATCTTTATAAATCCAAAATCAGCCACTAATAAGATTCATGACTGTATTTCTGTGGTTCTATAAAGCCTTTGAATTCAGTCCTTGGCTGCAGAGAGCTTCAAAAGGTAGAAAGAAATGGGGTGTGTGATTGAAAATGGAAATAAAAGTGTTTTTCTCTTTTTTTAACCAAACCCAGCATTCATATTCTGATTCGCTGAAGTTTATCTTAATCCTGGGTTTGGATTAACAGTCTGGGAACTATTTTCAGGGTTTACATCCCAACGGGCAAGACGCAATGCCTCGGGGATTCTCCGAAGTGCTAATCTTTTTCTGAAATGTCCCAAAAGTGCTTTCTTTCAAAAGGCAACTGGACTTCGTTTTTGCCTTGAAGACACTTCGCTTCTCATCCAAGACGCTTCTTCAGTTCTGACTGAATGGTGGAGGACAGTCATTTGAGTTGTTAGTACTCTCTCTGAGAGTCGTTGAGGCCACTTGGAGGTTTATCTGTGCCCTCTGGGTCACCTGAATAGGTGTGCAAATTGGTCCAAATAGGTGTGGAACCTTTTTGGAACTGCCCAAAGAATGGTGGTGTAGACAGGAAATAGATGATGTCCTAAACTTCCCCCTCTGCTGAGAAAGGGCCGTTCAGTCTTAAGTCTTTGACCCCTCTTTCAAACCAGTGGTCCTCTCCGTCCAGAATGTGGACTTGGCTGTCTTCAAAAGAGTGACCTTTGTCTTTCAAATGCAGGTGGACTGCTGAAACTTGTCCCGATGGATTTGTTCCCCTATCTCCGTGGTGGCAAACCTATGCCACGCATGCCACTGGTGGCACTTGGAACCCTCTCTGTGGGCACGTGTGCCATCGCCCCAGTCCTAGGCCTTCAGCTGGGTTTTATAAAACCTTTTCGCTTTAGGTCTCCGCCGCCGTGTGCAAAAAAAAAAGGTTCAATCAATCAATCAATTTCAACTTCTCGCAGGGAAAAAAAAGATCTCGCAAAGTTGGAATTGATTGATTGAACTTTTTAGTCCCACCCAGTCTGCCGTTACCACCGCAGCCACGCCCACCCAATGGGCCATGCCCACCGGGTACACGACGATACATAAGTGGATTTTGGGTCGCAGTTTGGGCACTCGGTCTCTAAAAGGTTCGCCATCACTGCCCTATCTTGTGCCCTGTAATGACTCGATGACTCTCAGAAAGAGCGCTAACGACCAGATGATTGCAAGGAATACCAATCCATTCTCCACCAATCAGTCAGAACTGAAGAAGCTTCTTGGGTCAGAAGCGAAATGTCTTCAAGGGGAAAAAAAAATCCCAGAAAGTCCAGTTGCTTTTTGAAGAAGCATCTTTGGGACAACTGTGACCTGGATGACTTGAGAAATTTCATTTTTGAAATATATCATGTTTACGATGTAACCTGCTTACATATTTATATATATTTCATACCGTTAACCGCTCATCTCGCCCCGCAAATCCCTGTTTTGACCAGCCTTGATCCAGGAAAACGGGAAATGACATACATGGACAAGAAATAAACACTGGAAATAAAGACCAGCATTAAGTTCCTGTCACGTGACTGCAGAGTGCTGCAAACCGCCATAATAATAATAATAAAATTGGGAGGGACCTTGGAGGTCTTCTAGCCCAACCCCTTGCTCAGGCAGGAAACCCTAGACCATTTCAGACAAATGGCTGTCCAGTCTCTTCTTAAAAACTTCCAGGCCAGTTGCTAAGTGCCCAAAATGTGATCGCACGAACCTGGAGAGGTGGATCAGAACTTCTTATAAGTTCACAAGTACCGTTGTTTTGGGTCCATCGGAATGTTGGTCGTAAATCGAGAACTCCCCGTATAGCCCGCAGCTTCTCTTCTTCAATCTTACCTGGAATTTACTTCCACACAACACACACACATACACCCCGGTCTCAGCTTCCAAGTACAGAGGATACGTCATTCAAAATCAAACCAGCTTTTATTCACAAAAAACAGTTTGTTCTGCTTAGCCCCAGAAAGAAACTGAAAACTGCAGCTTTTTCTGAGAGATTCCCGTGAAGTTCCCGAGACCTTCCCTCCCCCTCGGTTTATAAAAACAGTGCTCCCCAAAGGCAAACCAGGTGAGGTGGATAAAGAAGAGAGTTGTGAGGACGGGGAAAAAAAAAATCTCAGTGCAATGCAAGGTGTTCCTCTAACAAAACATGGCCGACACCAAAGAGTGGCGATGAGGCAAGGCAACGAGTGTGAATATTTTTTGTGCAAATGAGCGGAAGACTCCGTGTTTGGAGAACTGGCTCAGGTGGCCTGGGTGGACCACACACCATCATCCTCTCCCTCTGCACCAACAGAGAGGCCAACATTGTCCTTCTGGTGGCTAGGAATGGATTCTTAGAATTTGATAAGAAAGTCACCCCCCAATCCCCACCCATACACCCCCCCAATACATCTCCCTAAAAATGTTTCCCTATTACTGAGATCAAAAATGTGCGAAAAAGGTACGAGGAGTGCAAAAGTGAGTTGCAAACAAAGAGGCCGAGAACCCCCTGGACGCTGCTCGGGCCCAACACAAAACAAAAGAGAGATCGGCTGCAGAGTTTGACGCAGCTTTTTTTTTTTTTTTTTTTTCCTTTTTAAAAAATCCAAACAGGTATATAAAAGCATCATTCCAGGAGATGAAAAGAACGGAGACTTCTGGGACAAACGGGTCGCCCCCCCCTCCACGTTCGGGTTAGCAACGGAGTCGGCCGCGAGAGCCCTTCCTCACGAGGTTCGGAGGAATTCATCCGGAGTGTGAAGTGAAAAAAGCACCACTGCAAATGACACACCATCTCAAGCCACAAGGTTGGGGGAATAGGTCGGGTGGGTTGGTGGGGCGGCTCAGGCCCCCACCCCTCTGCCCGAGGTGCTATTTGAAGGACCGGAATCCTGGCCGGGAATGATAGCAGCATTTGAGATGGGATCGGCTGTCGATGGAGTGCTGATGTTCTTGGCTTTGCTTGGCTGGTCCAAGGAATGTCCCCCATTTGGGGGGTCTGGAGTTTTGCTTGGCTGGTCCAAGGAATGTCCCCCATTTGGGGGGTCTGGAGTTTTGCTGGTGGTCTGGACCTCATCTTTGGGTCTAGTGGTCCTGCTCTCTGCCGCTGGATTATGCGAGGCTTTCTGCTGAGGGGGGACCCCGTTCTCCTGGATGGGAGGGTGGTCGGCATTATTAGCCACGACCTGAGACGTTCGCTCCAGTTTGCGATGTTTGTGGAGGGTGGCCGGGGGCTGTGGGGGGGCGGTATCGGAAGGAACCAGAATGTTCCGGATGATCTCTGTGCAGACGGCTGAGGCCTGGCGGGTCTCGCGGCACAACTGGGACAGGCTGAGAAAGCCGTGGGGCAGATCCTGCACCACTCGCAGGGTGACTGGCTGACCGAGGGCCCTCAACCTCTGGGCAAACATCACGGAGTCGTCCAACATGGGATCCAGAGCACAGGCCTAAGGAGAAGAGATGGTTGGATCCTGTCAATCCTAGGATTCGGGAAATCCGTGCGCTCCTAACCCTCACGTACCCCATTACAAGCTACTTTGGCCTAGTGCAGGGGTAGACTACTTTGGCTCTTTTATGACTGGTGGACTTCAACTCCCAGAATTCCTGAGCCAGCATGGCTCAGCATGGCAACCTCTCCCTTTCCTCTCAGCACTGCTGGCTGAGGAATTCTGGGAGTTGAAGTCCATGAGTCATGAAGGGACCATAGTTCCCCCATGTTGGCTGAGGAATTCTGGGAGTTGAAGTCCACGAGTCATGAAGGGACCATAGTTCCCCCATGCTGGCTGAGGAATTCTGGGAGTTGAAGTCCACGAGTCATGAGGGGGCCATAGTTCCCCCATGCTGGCTCAGGAATTCTGGGAGTTGAAGTCCACGAGTCATAAAAGAGCCAAGGTTGCCTACCCCTGGGCTAAACAAACCACTCTTAAAAACAGCTCTCTCCAGTTTTTCATCTCCACCCCAGAAGTTAGTTGCCACCATATTGTGACCAAGTCACGGACAGTTCCCTGTTCCTCCTTCCCCAATTTCTCTTCCCTCCTCAGAGCCATCCCCAGGCAACAGCATCCATGGACCTTGGCATATACTCATGCCGTCCACACGACTACGGAAGTGTCTTCAGACAATGCTGGCTCCCTCGGCTAGGAAATGGAGGTGAGCAGCGCCCCCTAGAGTCGGGTGTGACTGGACAGGGGAAACCTTTACATTAACAGAATCTCGCAAGTCTGTAAGTACAAGTCGCCTGCCGTCTCTTTTGACAACCTACGTTAAGAAGATTCCTTTCTGAGTTTCTTTCTCTGCCCATTATGCAGCTGTGGGTTCCCCTCCACCTTGTCTAATTGTTCCCTAGACCAGGGCCCCCCAACCTTTTGGGGACCAGGGACCGGTTCCTTGGAGAGAGGTTTTTTTCCACAGACCGGAGGGTGCGTGGTTTTGTGTGCTGCCTGCATCCCGCGGATGGGGCTTTGCTTGGTTGTGCGGACCGGTTGCTGGCGTGCTGTGGCCCAGTATTGGTCCACAGACCAGGGGTTGGGGACCGCTGATCTAGAGTCTCCTGCTTGAGCAGGGGGCTGGACTAGAAGACCTCTAAGGCACGTTCCAGCTCTTGTTACTCTCTTCTGTAATCCCATGCCTCAGCAGAGTCCCAAAGACAGGCTGAGATACTTTTGTGATTTAGCACAGAGGTCCCCAACCTTTTGGGCACCAGGGACCGGTTCCGTGGAGAGAGGTTTTTCCACAGACCGGAGGGTGCGTGGTTTTGTGTGCTGCCTGCATCCCGCGGATGGGGCTTTGCTTGTTTGCATGGCCTGGTTGCTGGCATGCTGTGGACCGGTGTCGGTCCAAGGCCCAGGAGTTGGGGACCCCTGCCCTAGGCAGTATCTCTACCCTCTATCTCCCAAGGTCATTCCCACATGCCATTACACCCACCCACTGGAGAACTACCTGGGTGAGGCTATGTGCGAGCCTGCTCCCCAACTTCCACATCTACTCAACCCTGCTCCCACCACCCCCTACCAACCCACCACACCTCCCTGCAGCCACACAGGCAGGTGTGTGCTCACCACGATATGGATCGGAGGGAGTCCCTTCAACATTTCATCCGGGGCCAAAAGGGGCGACATGAACGGGTTCTTGACGATGGGCGACAGCTCTAGAGGCAGGCTGGCGGCAGGCTGGCTGGTGCGTAGCGGCTGGAAGCCGTCGGGAAAAACCAAGCCCTGGGGAGTGCTGGAGGAGAAGGACTCTCGGTCCTGGTCGGAGAGGAAAAAGGTGGGCTGATCTTCAGAGTCCGGAGTGGTAGAGCTTGCGTCTCGCTGGACATCGGAGGACCCTAAGAAATTTTGACACGTCTGGCTCTTCTTCCGGGAATCTTTGTGGCTGGCAAAGGGCTTCAACTTCAGGCTTGTCTCTGATGCGCTTTTCCTCAAGGCTTCTGCACAGAAGAACAGAGGGACAGAGTTGGAAGGGACCTTGAGATCTTCTAGCCCACCCCCCGATTGCTAAAGCAGGAAAGCCTACACCATTTCAGACAAATGGACATCCAATCTCTTCTCAAAAACCTCCAGTGTTGGAGCACTCACAACTTCTGGTGGCAAGCTGTCCCGCTGGTTAATTGTCTTCCCTGTTGGGAAGTTTCTCCTTAGTTCTAGGTTGCTTCTCTCCTGGATTAGTTTCCATCCGTTGCTTTTTTTCCCTGCCTTCAGGTGCTTTGGAGAGTAGTTGACCCCTTTGTGACAGCCGTTCAAATATTGGAAGACTGCTACTGTCTCACCCCTGGGCAGAGGCAGGGACCCTCAGCCCTGCTTCGAAGCCCCCCCCCCCGGGCTCATGGCCACTTTGGCCACTCAATTTTTGCAAGATTTCATTTATAACAACCATCACCGGGCAAAAAAAATTCCCATTGTTAAGGAAGGCAGCCAAGTGAGTTTTGCCTCATTTTACGACCTTTCTTGCTTCGGTTGTTAAGTGAATCACGGCAGTTGTTAGGTGAACCTGGCTTTCCCCCCCCCCACTTTGCTTGTCCGAAGGCTGCAAAAGGGGATCACGTGACACCCCACCCTCCACCCCGGGACACTGCGACCGTCGTAAATATGAACCAGTTGCCAAGCGTCGGAGTTTTGATCGCGTGACCACGGGGATGTGGTCATGAGTGTGAAAAATGGCCGTAAGTCACTTTTTCAGTTCCATTGCAACTTCGAACGGTCACTACACGAACGGTCGCAAGTTGAGGACTACCTGTATTTACGTTTTAAGCAGCAGCACGTGATTTGGGCAAGAGAAAAAACGGACAGTTCCTACCAAGTGCTGGAATTAGTAAGGAGTTTGGAAACATCGCCACCAGCTGGCCACGGGACATCTTACGGAGCCCCGGGTGGTTCTCCAATCTGGTAATAATAATAAAGTTGGAAGGGACCTTGGAGGTCATCTAGTCCAACCCCCTGCTCAGGCAGGAAACCCTATACCATTTCGGACAAATGGCTGTCCAGTCTCTTCTTAAAAACTTCCAGTGTTGGAGCATTCACCGCTTCTGGAGGCAGGTTGTTCCACTGGTTAATTGTTCTAACTGTCAGGAAGTTTCTCCTTAGTTCTAGGTTGCTTCTCTCTTTGGTTAGTTTCCATCTGTTGCTTCTTATCCTGCCTTCTTCAGGCGCTTTGGAGAATAGCTTGACTCCCTCTTCTTTGGGGCAGCCCCTGAGATACTGGAAGACAGCTATCCTGTCCCCCCTCGTCCTTCTCTTTGTTAAACTAGACATACCCAATTCCAGTAGCCTTTCCTTGTACGTTTTAGCCTCCAATCCCCTAATCATCTTTGTTGCTCTTCTCTATACTCTTTCTAGAGTCTCAACATCTTTTTTAAATCGTGGTGACCAAAACTGGATGCAGTATTCCAAGGGTGGCCTTACCAAGGCCTTGTAAAGTGGTATTAACCCTTCACGTGATCTTGATTCTCTCCCTCTGTTAATGCAGCCCAGCACTGTGTTGGCCTTTTTTGGCAGCTGCAGTAAGTTTTAGCCTCCAGTCGGTGCCACGTCTGTGTCGAGAAGACGAGGAAGAGCAAGGCAGGAGCAGAGGAGCACGGAAGCTGGCAGCACGGAGCCCCGGGGGAGGCCCTTCTTACCATTTACGGCACCCGCCCTGTTGTGCTTGCCTGTCTTGTCCATCAAAGAGCCAACCAAGGCGGACGCACCCAGGCGCAAGTCTCGGAAGAGGAGGGCCGTGTTCCGGCGCATCATGTTCATGGGGTCCAGCTGCTCCAAGGCCGAGTCATCAGGCTGCTCTGACTCCATTCCTTCGGGTTGGGAGGAACAAAAATAGGGGGGGGGGGAGAGGGAAGTATTTCGATCAAGAGCGTCCAACCCTGGCCACTGGGGGACTTCAACTCCCAGAATCCCCCAGCCAGCCAGCAGCATGCAAGTCACATGACCGTGGGGGGATGCTGCAACGGTCATAAAGGTGAAAAAAAAAGGGTCCTAAGTCACTTGTTTTCAGTGCCGTCGTAACTTCGAACGGTCGCTAAATGAACAGTTGTAAGTCGAGGACTACCTGGGCAGTACAGTTCGGGTGCCACCAAAAATGATTCTGCGTGGCTTATAATGACAAGTAAGAAAAAATAAAATAAACAAACAAACAAAAAAAGGAACCTCTGGTGGCTTAAAGGAGGGGAAGGGAATTCTGGGGGTTGAAGTCCACAGATCTTAAAAGTGGCCAAGGTTGGAGACCCCTTATCTAAAGGTAAGCATGTAAAGAAAAAAAAAATCCCCCTCCCCAATGCAACAGGAACTCAACTCTCACCAGGCCTCAAAGCTTGGGAAAAGAGCTAGGCCTTTATTATATCTTCTTGAATGTCATCAAGACAGGAGCCATCGGGATCTCTGACCGGAAGCTATGCCAGAGGGCAGAAAAGGCACACTTCCTGGTTCCCCAAAGATGGCATTACGTGATCTAGAGCAGGGGTCCCCAACCCCCCCCCGGTCTGTGGACCGGTATCGGGCTACGGCATGCCAGCAACCGGTCCGCACAAACAAGATAGATAGGCAGACAGACAGACAGATCGGTGGGTGGGTGGATGATAGGTAGGTAGGTAGGTAGGTAGATAGATAGATAGACTGAGATAGAGATAGATAGATAGACTGAGATAGAGATAGATAGATAGATAGATAGATAGATAGATAGATAGATAGATAGATAGATAGATAGATAGACAGACTGAGATAGAGGTAGAGGTGGAGGGAGAGGGAGGGAGGGAGAGAGAGAGAGAGAGAGAGAGAGATGCTTCTTTCCACTATTTCCTTCATCGGGGCTTAATAGAGGCTAAGCATCAATACCCCTTCAGGTGAGAATGTCCCCAACCCCCGGTCCATGGACCGGTACCAGACCGTAGCATGCCTGCAACCGGTCCACACAAACAAGCAAAGCTCCATCTGCGGGATGCAGGCAGCACACAAAACCACGCACCCTCCGGTCCGCGGAAAAACCTCTCTCCACAGAACCGGTCCCTGGTGCCCAAAAGGTTGGGGACCTCTGATCTATAGGATCCAAAGTGCCCTCACTCTGCCCAACTTCACAAGCTGGGGAAGAACTTTTGAAGACTGACTGGCCATAACCAGGCCCTATGCCAAGAGGGGCGGGGGGGCTTTTACAGGTGACAACCAGCATGTCAACGGTGCTAACATCGGATGTTCTTGCTTTGTTTGACAACATATGAAGATGCAGCCTTTTTCTTTGTTATGCTTTACTCTTAGAATTAGATGATGCTGGGGGAGGAGGCGGAGGAATGGGGTGGGAGTTAGTTAGACATAACATTATTGTACCAGTGTGTGAAATAAGAGATGATAAGGATTGGCCGGGTAGCAGAACAGGAAGGAAAGCCTGCATTTCAAACGAATTGGAGAATGTGATTTATGACTGTTAATTGAAGGAGGGAATTGTGCTTTGATATTAAGAAAACCAAGATCATGGCATCTGGCTCTCTCAATTCCTGGCAAATAGATGGGAAAGAAATGGAGGTAGTGACAGGTTTTATCTTCCTGGGCTCCAAGATCACCGCAAATGGGGACTGCAGCCAAGAAATTAAAAGACGCTTGCTCCTGGGGAGGAAAGCTATGGCAAATCTAGACAGCATACCAAAAAGGAGAGACATCACCCTGCCAACAAAAGTGCGCATAGTCAATGCCATGGTTTTCCCAGTTGCAATGTATGGCTGTGAAAGCTGGACCACAAGAAAGGCTGAGCGCCAAAGAATTGAGGCCTTTGAACTCTGGTGCTGGAGAAGACTCCTGCGAGTCCCCTGGACTGCAAGGCGATCAAACCGGTCGGTCCTAGAAGAGATCAACCCCGACTGCTCTTTAGAAGGTCAGATCCTGAAGTTGAAACTCAAGTACTTTGGCCACCTAATGAGAAGGAAGGACTCCCTGGAGAAGAGCCTGATGCTGGGAAAGATGGAGGGCAAGAGAAGAATGGGACGACAGAGAAGGAGGTGGCTGGATGGAGTCACTGAAGCAGGAGGCATGAACTTAAATGGACTCCAGAAGATGGTAGAGGACAGGAAGGCCTGGAGGAACGTTGTGCATGGGGTCGCGATGGGTCGGACACGATTTCGCAATTAACAACAACAACAACACTATGTGCTCAGGGGAGGGGAATCCAGTTTTGGGCTTCAACTATGTTAGTGCGGAAGCTATGCTACTCCCATCAAGATTCTTTAAGATAAACAATGCCTCGAAGTTCTTTGAAAGAGTTTCATCTGTCGGAACCATGACACAGCATCCTGAACCGCACCTGGAAGCCAGCCTTGAAATATAGCTCATCCTCCACCCTGGGGCCAATCCTTCCTAAAATCCTCCAGTTCTGACACATCCTGGCGGTCCGTCGCCAGCCCCATCTTCCTCCCTTCTCGGCCCCCCTCCCTAACCTCAAGGGCCCCCCCTCCCCTTTTTCCAGCGACCTTCCTCACCTGCGTAGGCACTGAGGCATTTGAACAAGACGCTGAGAGGCAGGAGCGGGTCCAGCAGGGCGAGAAGCCGTGAAGGCGAGGCGGCAACCTCCAAGAGGGTGACGGGGTAGGCCGCCATGATCCCGTCGGGCATCTTGATCCCAAAGGCGGCGGCACGCATGGAGACGGTAATGCAGAGGTTGCCGCCAGCGCTGTCCCCTGCAAGGCAGACCGTTTGCGCTGTGGAGCCTGCCAAGGGACGGAAAGGAAGAGGGGATCAGAACTGGGATGAAGAGAGAAAAGAAGCAGAAGGATCAAACCGTCTGCGTTCTGCAGGCTGCGATCAACAACATCAAAATGGCGGCCCTGATGTTCCTAGCCACCTTGGAGGTCATCTAGTCCAACCCCCTGCTCAGGCAGGAAACCTATACCATTTCAGACAAATGGCTGTCCAGTTTCTTCTTAAAAACTTCCAGTGTTGGAGCATTCACCGCTTCTGGAGGCAGGTTGTTCTACTGGTTAATTGTTCTCACTGTCAGGAAGTTTCTCCTTAGTTCTAGGTTGCTTCTCTCCTTGATTAGTTTCCATCCATTGCTTCTTGTCCTGCCCTCAGGCGCTTTGGAGAATAGCTTGACTCCCTCTTCTTTGGGGCAGCCCCTGAGATATTGGAAGACTGCCATCATGTCCCCCCTCATCCTTCTCTTCGTTAAACTAGACATACCCAATTCCAGCAACCGTTCCTTATATGTTTTAGCCTCCAGTCTCCTGATCATCTTTGTTTATTTATTTATTTATTTATTTATTATTTATATTTATATCCCGCCCTTCTCCTTGCGGACTCAGGGCGGCTAACAACCAGATAAAAATACAAAATATCTAAACTACAGATTAAAACTTAATTAAAAGGCAAATATTAATAATTGGTCTAAAAAATTTAAAATTATTTTAAAACCCCCTCTAAAAACTTTCCCCTAGGCCAGTCCCGCAAGCTGGAATAACCATGTCTTAAGGGCGCGGCGGAAGGAAGGGAGATCAGGGATCACCCTGATCTCTGGGGGTAGTTCATTCCAGAGGGTGGGAGCTCCCACAGAGAAGGCCCTCCCCCTTGGGGTCGCCAGCCGGCACTGTCTGGCCGACGGTACCCTGAGGAGACCCACTCTGTGGNTAACCATGTCTTAAGGGCGCGGCGGAAGGAAGGGAGATCAGGGATCACCCTGATCTCTGGGGGTAGTTCATTCCAGAGGGTGGGAGCTCCCACAGAGAAGGCCCTCCCCCTTGGGGTCGCCAGCCGGCACTGTCTGGCCGACGGTACCCTGAGGAGACCCACTCTGTGGGAGCGTACAGGTCGATGGGGGGTAATCTGCAGCAGGAGGCGGTCTCGAAGATATCCAGGTCCGATGCTCTTCTCTGTACTCTTTCTAGAGTCTCAACATCTTTTTTACATCGTGGTGACCAAAACTGGATGCAGGATTCCAAGTGTGGCCTTACCAAGGCCTTGTAAAGTGGTATTAATACTTCACGTGATCTTGATTCTATCCCTCTGTTAATGCAACCCAGCAGTGTGTTTGGCTTTTTTGGCAGCTGCAGCACACGGCTGGCTCCTATTTAAGTGATTGTCCACTAGGACTCCGAGATCCCTCTCACAGTTACTACTATTGAGCAAGGTACCTCCTATACCAGGGGTAGGTAACCTTGGCTCTTTTATGACTCGTGGACTTCAACTCCCAGAATTCCTGAGCCAGCCATGCTGAGGGGAAAGGGAGAGGTTTCCAAGCTGAGCTATGCTGGCTCAGGAATTCTGGGAGTTGAAGTCCACGAGTCATCAAAGAGCCAAGGTTGCCTACCCCTGCCCTATACTATACCTGTACATTTGGTTTTTCTTGCCTAAATGTAGAACCTTACTTTTTTCACCGTTGAATTTCATTTTGTTAGATTATGTTCTTTTCTCTTTCGGTTATTATTTCAAAAGCGTAGAAAACAAAATAAAACACGGCAGGTAGCTCTCGACTTACAACCGCTCCTTTACTAACCATCCAAAGTTATAATGCCACTGAAAAAAGTGACTTATCATGAACTTTTTTTTTCACATTAAAGGACTGTCACTGCATCCCCCTGATAAAATTTCGGATGCTGGGCAACCGACATGTACTTATGACGGTTGCAGCGTCCCCGGGGCCACGTGATCCCCCTTTGGTGACCAGATTCACTTAGAAAAGTTGTAAAATGGGGCCCAATTTACTTCACTGTCTCGCTTAGCAGGAGAAACCTGGGGGGGTCAACTGCGGCCATAAATCAAGGGCTACCTCTGGGTCTCTCCCCCCCCCAGGGAGGGGTTGCCCCCCCAATTCCTTACCCAAGAGATGGCAGTTCTTAAGGGCCCAGCAGTAGGCAAAGAAGCATTCCTCCAACGCTCGTGGGAAGGGAGCCTCCGGGGACAGTGAGTAGTCGATAGAAAGAATAGGGGCCCCCAGCTCCTGAGCCCACGATTTCAGGTAGGGCTCGTGAGACTTGGAAGTCTGCGCTACAAAACCCCCTCCGTGAAAGTGCACCATGAGGTAGGGGGAGCGAGGCAAGGTCTTGCTCTTCCAGGGCAGCTCCAGGGCCAGAGTTCCTTCCGGTCGCATCAATTTGAGCAATTCCTCGCTGTCCTAGAGAGAAGAAACAGATTGCAAGGTGAGATCGAGAGATCCCAAAGGCCCAGGGTCGGCCTCCTGTCGCTTCCTCCCTACGGTGCCAGCCCCCAGAGGGTGAACCCTCCAGGGATCATTGTGACAAATAGGAGCATCTGTTTCTGGGAAGCATCTTGACCAGCTGCAAAGGAGGGAAACAGGGAAGGCTGATTTGATCAGAATTGAGCTGGAAGAGAACCCTGGAGGTCATCTAGTGCAACCCGCTGCTCAAGCAGGAGACCCTATGCCATTTCTGACAAATGTTTGTCCAATCTCTTCTTAAAAACCTCCAATGTTGGTTCTCACTGTTAGAGGAAATTTCTTCTTAATTCCAGGTTGCTTCTCTCCTTGATTAATTTCCATCCGTTGTTTCTATTCTATTCTATTCTATTCTATTCTATTCTATTCTATTCCTATTTCATTTATATTCTATTCTATTCCTATTCTATTCTATTCCATTCCATTCCATTATTCTATTCTATTCTATTCTATTCTATTCTATTCTATTCTATTCTATTCTATTCTATTCTATTCTATTCTATTCTATTATATTCTTCTACTTCATTCCATTATTCTATTCTATTCTATTCTATTCTATTCTATTCTATTCTATTCTATTCTATTCCATTCTATTCCATTCCATTCCATTCTATTCCTATTCTTGCAAAATGAGGTTTCCTTATTGGCCATATAGTTTTGGATTCGTCAACAGGTGGGAACAGTCCCCAGACTGCTACGCTTTGAATGTGCTATTCCTCAGCCTGCTGGACGACCTTCACACCTGTCCATACCTGTCCTTCACGCAGCTCGTGGGAAATGAGCCTCATCTGGACGGCTCCTGGCCCAGTGTGGGCCACCGGAGGTGTGATGGTGACGGTCAGTTGGGGGTTAGAAGCCAGAGGCAGGTCAAAGGAATGGGGTGGGACCAGCAAGGCTCGGGACAGCCGGACCTGAGAGGAAGCCATGCTGGCTAGCGACTGCAGAGGGAGGGAAAGATAAACCAGAGATTAAACAAACATTGGCCTGTCCTCAAATATCCAGTATCTTTCCATAAGGATTCGATGCACGTCACTCGCTGAGGAACAAGGCGCCAGGTTATGGGCTTTAGATACCCTCCACTTTTCCTTCTCTGTCCATGAGGACCCTTGTTTGACCTGAC